TATCTGGGTGAAAATTTCGCACATCAATAAATTCACCTTCTCTACGGAACTCGGAACACTTAGAGAGAAGAATTCTAGAATGGGCCACCATTCTTGAGCTGTTTCAACACAAAGATATCTGCTTGTAGAAACTTCGAAGGAAACCAGAATGTCTATAAACTCTGTTCGCGTGACCGCCCACTGTAAGCTATGCTAATTTCCAAATGTCGTAGTTGCATAGCAACGGGTAATGTTGTCTTGAGATGCAAGCATTAATCTGCATCGATATCAGGGTCAATGTTGAGGGCAAAGCCTGACTATCATCTTTTCGCAATTTCAGTAGCAAGAGATAGTGGCATATCTGAAGAAGATTGAGGAAGTAAATAAATCGAAATTTATCCAAAACTCATTAAATAAATTAATCAACCGTATGGCGTACGTCTTCATTAACTTCCTTTTCCAACACAACACCTTACATTAAGTCATATCTTTTGCTTGGAGTGACTTATTCACAACCGAGTTATCCTCGCACTCTGCGATAATTACCTCGATACACACAAAGACCTCTTTTAAGGTGAAAAGTATGAAATCCAGCGCGAGCATTTTAATTATAGCTCAAGGCTTTTTCACGACTGACTCAGTAGATAATGTTAACAAGCTAATCTTAACAAGCTCAGGCTGTTAAGAATTGCACGACGACAAATTTCACTCTTCAAGTATTATTGAGAGAGGTCTCAAAAACCCAAAAAGCATTAAGCTTTTGAGGACAAGACCTCAGCACTTTAAACTAAACTAACTTTAAGTTGCATTTATTCTCCAGCTGATAGAGTTAAAAAACAGCAAATCTGATTTATATTAACAGCATTACTCTGCTTTTAGCTCTCGCCCCAGACGAACAGCTCCAATTATCTTGGCTGCAACTACAAAAAAGTACCATCCTCTCTTCCTGCTTGTGTTTAATCCACTGCATCACTGATTTTAAGATGAACGTCTCGGAAGGTGCACTGAGATCATCTCGGCTTAGGAGGCTGAGTAACTGGTCTGTTTCTATAATGGACAAGAAGCCGGAAGTTTAGAGTACACTTCGCGTCATCTGCAGTTTTCCCAGTAAGTTACAGCTACAATCTAGGATGACATTTGTTGTACTTGTTAGTCTTGGCATATCGTGAAATACCTAACAGTGTTGTAACTGCATACTCCTTTTTCAGTTTGTTTGTTTGTAAATTACAAAAGAATGTAAATAAATACCTGCAGTCAATTTTTTGGACCACGGAGTATATTTGATCGTTTGGTCTGATCGTACGGGTAAGGGTGGTTGTGTGAAGGAAGTCATCATCAGAGTCGAGAGTGAAGATTCATATGAAGATTTGTCGATTCGAGCAGAGAGTGCTACACAACAATGAACAAAGACGAAGTATAACAGATAACAGCGAGTAAGGAATACCTCTTCCCGTCCCGTGGACAAGACTTAAACAATCAGTTACACCTTAACGCAAACGGAACTCAACGGGTCTAAAGAAACTTCACAAACCTGGTTTTCCAATGCGACCTACAGTTTCGCTCTGTGGGTCCCCTGTATAAGCTACATTCCACCGACGACTTTACAACGCCATCAAGACTCTGACTGAACCGATACCTGACGACTATAAGCTAATGTCTCTTTGTGAAATGTTCAGTACGGTTTCACTTCAATTGGCATTACAATGTACCTGTTTCACAGTCGAGCAGAGAGATTTTTCTTTAACAAACAAATCGTTATTGCGATTATTTTCCTGCTGCTCCAATATTAATTTTGGTATTGAGAGTCGCTTTGATTTCTGTCTTCTCGGCGATAAAAGTTCAACATGACTAGTTCTAAGATGCGTTATTTGAATTAAATATAATGTATCCAGCAATTGAAACTGCTTTCTTCTCCTCCTTTTTCACCACTGTATTAGTAATGTATAGGACAACAGAATGCGATCATGAAAACAAATTCCACCTTCAAAGACGTGCACCTTCACTTTTCCCGTTATCCACTCTCATTTCACATTATCTCTCAAGTTCTAATCTCCTTCCTCGCCGTATAATTTTCTTTCCGGGGAGGGGGCTAAATGCGGACGCTGTTTTTAATACAGTAGGATATCAGCAAAGAAAATTCATGGAAGGGATCAACGCAATAGGTAAAATATAAATAACATTTGCTAAGTAGCTAAAGGGAGCATCAACTGACCCTCACTTGTATGTGTTTTTTCGCAATACTCCCGATGAAAATGCGGCCTTTTTTGCGCTATTCGACGATGGAATATGAGGCCATCTTCTTTATTAGCTTCTCTATATCTGAGGGTAGGAAAAGCATCCGAGCGAGAAACAAGTAGATATATTCAAGATTTCGGCCTTTTATTAGGTTTCCTGTCTCCTCTATTACCCTTCTATAACAAGATGGGTCGTAATCATGATAATGATGACAATTATGATAATGAATATTAAAAATGCCACCATCAAATCTTTCATAATGATAATAATTTTTATAGACCACTCACTATGGAGGCCTGTCAATAGATATAAACTAGTTAAAAGGTATGGGGTAGACCAGTGCATTAGTTACAGAGTGCAGCCAAGGAGAGTGAACTGATTGGGGGCAACTGAGAATTTGAAGGAATGCAATGTTTAAGGGAGTGCAAATCTCGAACCTGGGACCACCAGATTATAAGTCCTCCATCGCCCTAGCAACCCGGTCACAAACATAAGGAGCCAATTTTACAAAGATAAAAATGAAATTTATTTACAAGTAAGTTCATATATGCATATGAAACCTTGAATGATACACTTTAAGTAAGATCACAACCTTTAGCATGCACGGTTTTCAACATAGAGTGCTGCCTATATCCTGTCGAGTAAACATAAACCTCTAACGAACATTTCTCTAGAACAATCATTATAAAGACTTTTATACCATGAAATATCACGCGCTCTGCTAATGGTCATTATCTTTAAGGAATAAGCACATTAATTATGTTCTGGAATTTTTAAAACTTAAAGCTATTTGTTGTGAAACTAAGAGTAGTGTGGAGAATCAACTGATATCTTAACAAAAGCTGTGTTGTAAATAAAGGAAGTAACTACAGAGCTTAGCTTTTCACTCACCGGACTCATTGATCGAGGTTTAACTTTCTCAGCGGCAAACTCATGAGAAGGCATGATGTGATGCATCATGGATTCTTGCAGATGCATGTTTACCTCCGGTATTTGCTGCATTTCTTCTGTTTTTAACTCTTCAATGACAATCTTAACGTCTATCAGCCCAAGACGTACAGCTCCGATAATTTTTCCTGCAACTGCCATCCTCTCTTCCCCTTTGTATTTGATCCACTTCATCGCTGATTTGAAGATGAAAGCTTCAGAGGGTGAATTGAGGTCATCTCGACCGAGAAGGCTGAGTAGCTGATCTGCATTGATATGAGTCAGGAATTCTTTACTTTCGCAAACATCTTTGTAC